ATACTGTAACTACCAGGATGACATGTCTCGAATTTCGGGACCAGATCATGTGGTAGGGACTGAAAAGCTTTCGGGGATACTTTACTGATCAATACAATAGTACCACGGAGAGCAAGGTTCTAATCTCTTTCGTGATTTAATGTAGAATGATCGTAAACTGCAAATACAATACGAGAGCGAAACTTACTAAATATTTGAATACATTTCATGAAGCACTTAAAATCACTATATAATCTTGAATCAAATTAAAGCTACCACTGTGAAGGGCTAAAAGGTACTCTAGATTCGATTTCTATTAAAACAGATCAATATTTGTATATATACTAAATGGGTTATGAAACTTTGCTAATTAAGAAAACTAATAAAATTGTACTTACATATCGGTCCCGTTTGCCAAGGGCTACGCTTCTTTTGAATTTAACGCACGCAATAATACACTCAAAACACTAGGAAAACTAGGAAAAACTAACTATTATAGAACGATGCTAAATTACTTTTATATGCGCGTGGGGACGCTAAAGAATCAGATTACAAATCAAACACAAACATCAAACAGGAACTAAAAACAAATAATCCAATAAAAAGGGGTTTCGTTGTCTATTACAGATACGCTACGCCATCAAGAGTGACGTCACTAAACGCGCCAAACACATATAGCTTAATGTACAATAGAGCGTGCAAACCATGTGACTCAAAATCCCTTGAGATATGAATACCAATGAAACAGCCGCCATCTTGATTGATCTAAAGACAAGCTAATGGGGAATGCTTTGTTATCGTCAACCAAGATGGTGGCAATGACATAACATGCACCTGTTTTGTAGTCAAAAAAGACACGAATTGAAATAAAAATAATAATAAGATCTACGTACTTATCTTTATACCATTCCACTTTAGAAAGACAATTTATGTTAAAGTGCCTCGAGATTTCAAAACACCTCGGACGCGACGTGCTCAGCCTAGTTTTCTTACCTGGTTTATGGTTCTGTGTTTTCCCAAGAAGGTATTGATAGTTAGCCATAGTATAATCAGGCTTTCCTGATCTCCAGACGATATTTGGATCGTTTTGGATTTCATGAGACAGTTATGCTGCCTCTTTTATAGTCTTTGTTCGGTTTCAGAACTTTAATCATCTAATCATTTAACATCATCTTCTGTTACTTTTGCTTGTTCGAAATCTAGAGATAATCGCGATACAAAACGTTACTATCTAAAGAAAAAAGCGACAAATCTAGAAACGGTATAACTTACCCGCTGTTTTTGAGCCGATGGAGCCAGCATAACACTGGTTCTAATGGAGACGGAGGCTTTGGGTTTTGCGAGTTTTGCGACTCGATCATACTGGTAAAAAAATCCAACCTCGTTCCCAGGGCCCTCTCGGCCCGACTCCAAAACAAAATGGCGGTCCCCGACGACCGCCATTTTGTTTTGGAGTCGGGCCGAGAGGGCCCTGGGAACGAGGTTGTAAAAAAATCTTGCCTCGACAAGAATGATTTGATCGGCTCCAAAACGTCACAAAACATTGAACAGAAGATTCTCCATCTACAGAAAAAGTTTGGTCTCGAAAATTTACCTCAGAATGGAAATATAACGAAAAACGTATCTCTT